CCCCAAAACCCCAAAACCCCAAAACCCCACTTCGTCATGAAATAAATTTCTTAAATCAAAAATGAAGAGAATCAACCCTCGTTTCTTCACCAGCCTAAAATCTCCAAGGTCTGAAGTAAGTCTCTCTTATATATTTCTAGAGCCAAGAATTGATGAGCGATTCAGGTAATGATCTCTCAATTTCAACAAGAGCAGGCTTTAACAGGCTCTGATCTCAATTTATCTATTTTTAAACTTCTTATAATAATTTGTGGTAGGAATCCAGAAGGTAGTACTCCACCCAGAGAAAATGATCATGATAAATCAGGCCAAAACTGCTCTCTTTTTCAAAAATTCTCAACAAAGTAAGTAATCTTGAGTTTCAATTTCATAAAGTTTAAAACACATCCCAAAGAGTTTCTTTAACTCATACTTTATAGGTAAGAGTAAGAATGAGAAATCACAGACAATATTTTCAAACAAGAGGATCTCCAATGGCTTTGGCAGCGCCAAAGCCATTGGTCTTCTAGAGAATAAAGATTCTTCTCCTATGGTGTATCCTAAAATTATTCGTCCGTCTGAAGAAATCATCAAAAAGATCAATCTCTCAAAGGAAGTTAAGAAGTTCAGATGATCTACCTATAGAGGATCAAAGTAAAAATTTCTCTATAATTTTAGAAAGCTTCAAGGGAAATCTAGGTATGTTACATTATACCAAAAGATGAGGAGGCATAAAAGCCAAGAAAAGTTAGCCAGAGACAGAAGACTTGCAACCCTGAACTCAATGTCTTATGGACAGTTGTTCGGGAATTACAAGCAATTTATCAATAAGATTAAGGTAAATGCTCAAAATCTCTGTTTTTATACAGATATAGTCTGGAAATCTTCAGAGAATTAAGAAGAACAATACCAATTTTCCTTTAAAGAATCTTCACTTAAGACCAGGAGCTTTCAGTCCAGATCTGAGTAGAGGGCTATATCCAAAACTGTCTCATTGGAAGCCACCAAAATCAGACCAGTTGAAATCAATCATTACTGAAATAGTACTCTCGGTCTCTCTAAACCTTCTAGGAGAAGCCTGTTGAAGATTCACCAATGAAGTAATGGTGTTTATCCAATGTCTAGGAACACTGACACAGATGAGGAATCTGAAAGCTCATTGTCACAAAAGAATATAAAGTACACCACTGTGGTCAAATACTTCAGTGACAGTAAACGTAAGCTCTCTTCCCTCAGTGCTGATCTCTGATAGAAGAAAACTCAGTAGAATCTTCAGAAATTTCAGAATATTTCGAGGTAGGCATCTTCTTCAGATATTTTAGGATAAACCAGACTTAGTAATTATGAAGAAATAGCCAAAAGAATTTTGCAAAGTAGTTGAGGGTGGTAACTCTTAGGTACATCGAAAGAGCAGTGAGGAATGACCTATATCAAGAAACTAAGGAAAATCTTGCCCATAAGCCAGGTACTCATAATCCCTAGTGACCTTTAGACTCTCTTCATAGCATAAAAGATATCGAAAGTGTCATTGAGAAGGAAAAATGGAAGAAAGTAACATTATTGGTTAAATTAAAGGAGCATTATGATAGGATCAAGTTTATAAAACAAGCTAAATATTTCAGCTCTCCTCAAGGAGGATACTACAAGAGTAAAGATTTTAATACTAACTTTAGACAACTTTTCGATAAATAATAAATACTTGAACATTAAGAGAAGCTTGTCAAGGGTGTTTAACATTGAAGAAAAGGAGGCTTCAAGTAGGTTTTTGTTCAATTTTAATAGAAACTTCGAGAAAGACTATAAAATACAGCTCGAAAATTCATCTCAAAGAGCTTTGTAAAGGTAATTCACTATCTAAACCTTCTTAGCTGATGAAGCAGCAAAGGTTAAGGTTGGTACAAGGACCTTACAGAAGAGAATTAGGAAAGAAAAATACTAAAATTTTCAATTATTCAGACTCCAAAAGGGGTTTTGGGGTTTTGGGGTTTTGGGG